ATGGACTTGTTTTAATTGTCTTCAACTTCAAGTTGAACTTGCATATGAGCAGTTGATGGTCTGTTCCACAATCAGCTCCTGGCCTTGTTTTGGCTGATGATATTGAGCTTTTCCATCGCCTCTTGCCACAGATGTAGTCACTCTGATTACTGTGGTGAAAACATACACAAAAAGACATTCGCCAACATAACAACTTCCCCATTTAGAGCTCAGGGACATTGATGACATTTTTCATGTTCTGCCACCATTATTGCTCTCCTTTTCCAAAATATTCCACCACCATTATCATAAACTCAATGCCCTGCAAATGAAAACTTCCCCTTTCCCCATCCCTCCTACCTCTGGTAACCACTAATAATCTTTGGGGTATATATATATATATTTTTTTTCTTCCCCCCAACTCATCTAGGAATTTAGCCTCCCCTCCCATCCCATCCCTAGTAACCAACAAAGATAGTTTCCTTCTATGTGTAAAGCTTTCCTTGAATTTTTACTGTAGTGGCTAATACAGTATTTGTCTTTCTGTGATTACTTATTTCACTCAGCACAATGTCCTCCAAGTTCATCCATGTTATGTGGTGTGTTGCAGGTTCTCCATTATTCTTTAGGGTTACATAGTATTCCATTGTGTGTATGTACCACCATTTATCTGTTCTTCAGTTGATGGACACTTTGGTTGCTTTCATCTCTTTACTATTGTGAATAGTGCTGCAGTGAACATGAGTGTACATGTTCATTTCCTGCCTTTCATTCTTTAGGATATATAACTAGTAATGGGATTGCTGGATCAAATGGTATTTCTATTTCCAACTTTTTAAGGAATTGCCTACAGATTTACACAGTGCTTGTATCATTTTACAGTCCCACCAGCAGTGTATGAGAGTCCCAGTCTCTCCACATCCTCACCAGCATTTGTTATTTTCTGTCCTGTTGAACTTTGCTATTAATGCTGGGGTGAGATGGTATGTCATGGTTGTTTTGGTTTGCATATTTCTAATGGCTAATGATCATAAACATTTTTTCATGTGTTGGTTGGCTGCCTGAATATCTTCTTTGGTGAAGTGTCTGTTCATGTCTTCTGCCCATTTTTAAATTGGATTGTTTGTCTTTTTGATGTTGAGGTGTTGGAGTTTTCAATAAATTTTAGATAAGGCCTTTGATATGTCATTGCTGAATATTTTTTCCCATTCTGTAGGTTCTCTTTTCACTATTTTGGAGGAGTCTTTTGATGCACATAAGAATTTAATTTTCAGAAGGTCCCAATCATCTAGTTTATCTTCTGCTGCTTGTACATCTTGGGTTATGCCATCTATTTACGCCATCAGTCAGGGCCCCTAAATTTGCCTCCATTTTTTCTTTGATGAAGTTTATAGTTTTAGGTTTCACATTTAAGTCTTTGATCCATCTAGAGTTCATTTCTGTGTATGGTGTGAGGTATGGATCTTATTTTATTTTTCTGCCAGTGGATATCTAGTTTTGCCAGCACCATTTGTGAGACCGTCTCTTCCCCATTTTTAATGGATTTCAGCCCTTTGTCAAAGATCAGGTGACCATACGTGAATGGATCTATTTCTGGGTTCTCAATTCTGTTCCACTGATCTATGTCTGTCATTGTACCAATACCAGGCTATTTTGACAACGGTGGGTGGCTGTGTAGTAAGTTTTGAGCTCTGGGAATGGGAGACCTCCTACCTTGTTCTTCTTCTTTAGTAGTGCTTTGCTTATCCAAGGTCTCTTTCCTTTATGTCAATGGTTTTTTTTACATGTAAGTAGATAAGAGAGCACATACAATATTTGGAATCCCAGGGTTGAAGGACGCATGGAAGGTGAAGAATACATGTCGTGGGTCACAACTGTGGTGTTGGTCTCCAGTCTTTTCCTATCCACTTTTTGCCTTTAGCTCATAAGAGTGAAAGGAGAGGTACTTTGAAACTCCTGATGCCTTGGGTACCAGTCAGCCTCTGGAAGAGCTGTCTCACACATTCTCTGCTCCACACCAAAGTTGTATCCTCAGCAAAGCCCCTTTCTCCAGGCCTTTTCCATTTCCCCTTTCTGGGCCTGCTTCTCTTTCCTCAGGGCAGTGGTCACTCAGTGACTTTTAAGGCCATCCACTCCTGGCTCCAGGGCTAACATAATACTTGTCATACTCCCAGGACATCACTGTCATGTTAGTTTTATTGAGAAGGCCAGTTTGCTCTTCCTCTCTCTGCCAAAAGCTTATTGCATCATTGCTGGATCACATATCTTGCTGTCTTACATGGCTTGAGGGATCCGATTGGTCTTTGTAGAGTTTTGCTGTTGCAAGCTCTGCTCTTGGACTGTGAAGCTCAAGCGAGGACCCGAGTCTGACAGGGTGGGATCCGAGTGAGCATCTCCTTAGAGAAGCTCCGTAAGCAGTAACAACTCAACGCTCTGAGTAACTTGCTGAGTAAGCTGTTTGCCTGATACCCACACCCTCTGTTCCTATGAGCCACATGTCGATGCTGGTATGTTATTTGTATTATTTTGAGAAGTTATCCAAAAATGGAAAAGTTCAGAAAAACTTATATATGCATTAAACTTAAAAAAAGAAGAAGAAGAAAAAAAAAGGGCTAAAACTCTGGCACAGAGTGTATGCAGAATAGTTTGGGAATCTGTCTCATTAAGCAGACATTTTTTAAAATTCTCTCTCTCTCTTTTTATTTAAATATTTTATTCTGATTTCAGGTATTATTTTAAAGTTCAAGCCAAAAATCCTCATGGCTATGGGCCTGTCAGCCCTTCGGTCTCATTCATTACAGAATCAGGTATGGATAACTTCACTCCTTGTTTGTTTTTCTCTTTTCTTAGAAACTAAACGAATAATCTAGAATAATGACTACCATGGAGCAAAAACTAAAGAAGTAAAATCCTTACTTTTCTATTTAGTAAGATGAACTTGGGAGCTCTGGTGGCGTAGTGCCTAAGGCATTTGACTGCTAACTAGAAGGCTGGAGGTTCAAACCCACCAGCCACTCCTCAGAAGGAAGATTGGGCAATCTACTTCTGTAGAGATATCACCTCAGAAACCTAAGGAGGGTCGCTATGAGTCGAAACGACTCAATGGCAGTGAGTTTAAGATGAAAATGGATTTCTCTTTACAAAATAAAGACCATTTCTTTCACCTGTGTCCAAACTTGAATAATGAAATTAAAAGTTGTCTTCACTGGAGCTGTCTGGGGAGAGGAAAGGTTAAACTCCATTGAAAGGAAAATGTCTAGTTTCCAACAACATGAGAAAGATGACAAGCTTTGATGTATCTGTGGAAGATTTAGTTGCAGAGTTACTTTCTGTTGTTCTTGCGAACAGCCGAAGAGCATCAGTGTTGTTTGGTCCGAGAGGCAGTTGCTTCTCCGGTCTCTAAGTCTCTGCGATGCTGTCTTTACTAGGAGGCGGAGATGTCTTACTTAATATGGTGACTTAGTTGAGATCTTCTTTGTAAGTGCATCGGCACTCAGAGAGCTCCCTGCACTGGTAGAAGCTGATGGACAGAAAGCTTGTTGTTGGCTGTCCTTGAATCAGCCCCCAATGCGACAGGAAGCCTGTCTGCTCCTGCACCATCCCCACGGTCAGTGGGGGATCAAACTGTTGGGATCCAGAGGTTTTCATGGCCAGATCTTCAGCAGTAGATGACCAGGCCTTCCTTCCTAGTGTCTCTTAGTCTGGAAGCTCTGCTGAAACCTGTTCAGGATCACAGCCACACACAACCTTCCCCAGAGAGATGGGTGCTGCCAGTGCATGGGGTCCCTCTAGAGTACATCCCTGTGGTCCATGATCTGAGACAGCACACAGCAGAGCTAACCCACTGTGACCATTCTTGGCTTAGTGACATTTTCATACCACAAGCCAAGTGGAGCCAGGCCCACTTCCAGAGCCCACCTGAGCCAGCTCTGTAACAAAAGTGGCTCTAGTTTCCATTCTGGTTGATTATTTCCTGAATGCAGCATAATCCTGGAAGATTTGTCACAGGAAAGTGTTTTTAAATGTAATGATTCAAAATCTACAGAATCAAAACATATGGGAAAAATAAAATCTTTTACGGAAATATTATACTGGAACTGTAGGCAAAAGACCTCAAGAGTGTTTTACCTGTTCTGTTTGAAAGAGTGCTTCTCAGTGGTAATTGAGAAAGAGCAAGGGATGACCATCACCACTGGTTAATTTGCTGAATTAAAGAACATCTCTGTGCTTATCGTTGCATGTTCCAAAAATAAAATAGATCTTTAGCAACTATCAGAATTAACATGATAACAGTCTGTAGAAAAACCACATCATTCAAACCTAAAGATAAACCGATAGACACAGGTCTGAAATCTACCTGAGAGTAGGAAGCAATCTGTGTTCTCTGGGGCTGAAATGAAAAGTTTTATAAGACAGCTTTCTTTTTTTCTACCCCAAGAAATCTCTCACCCAAACATAGATATTTTAAAAAATAGTGAATCCATTGAATTATTTTGTGCCTAAGGTATTTGACTGCTAACCAGAAGGCTGGTGGTTCAAACCCACCAGCCACTCATCAGAAGGAAGACTGGGCAATCTACTTCCATAGAGATAACACCTCAGAAACCCAAGGAGGGGTCGCTATGAGTTGGAAAATGACTCAACAGCTGTGAGTTAGGTGGTTTTTTTTTTTTTTTTTGGTAATGTCAAAATCTGATTATTTTCAGGGAGCGACACTTTCTATATAAATAGCAAGAGAATTTCTCAAGAGAAAGTGCTTGGAAAATAAAAACAAAGAAAACCTTTGGATCATAAGCATCATTTGTTCAGATCACTTCCCATTGGGCAGCCATTGGCAGTACAGCATTGCGACCTTTGGCATGTTTGTGAATGTGGCGGTGATGCTAACTCTCTCCTTCTCACTTTACAGACAACCCTCTGCTTGTGGTGAGGCCACCAGGTGAGTGCCTCTCCCTGGTAATCCTGACATTCTCGTAATGCAGTTCAATGCTGAGTACACAATTGCTGGGATTACTCAGAAATATCAATGCTGGGCCATTTGAGAATTTGCTGACAAGTTCTATGATTTGGTTGCTCCTTGGTCGAAGGAAGAGAATGATCTGGGAGTTGTTTGGTAGAGCCGTAGCAGCCGGTATCTATGGAAAGCCATGATGGGGTAGCCAATACCTATAAAATAGATATGTTTGTTTATGAAGTCCTTTGCGATTGTTTAAATTGCTCATAAAAAAGCAGAACACATTGTATACAACATATTTTTACTGTTTTCAAACTAACTGATAAAGCTTATTGGTTATGATCAGGAGTCTGTGCTGAGAGACTCTAGGGGGTGGGTGCCATGTCTCAAAACATCACATCTGCCATTACAGCTCATTCTCCTTGATGTTTGAAGGCTTTTTGGCAACTCTAAGAATTTCTTATTGAAATGCTGCTACCTCAAACAGGGTCAGGTGAAAGGGGCTCCCCAGTTGTACCCCAGTCACTTCAGGGAAAGAGAAGGAACACAGCAGCCCCCTTTGCTTAGCAAAACCCCACGAGGAGGGAAAGGCCAAGGAATAAGCTAAATTTCCTGACACCCTGGGTGGGAGTGAACACTGCAAACTCCAGAATTTAGATGGTGTGTTTGTGTTGTCAAGGTGGTGAGCCCATCTGGATCCCATTTACTTTCAAACATGACCCTGGCTACACGGACTGCCACGGCCGGCAATACGTGAAGCGGACGTGGTACAGAAAGTTTGTGGGGGTCGTTCTCTGTAACTCCCTGAGGTATAAGATCTACCTCAGTGACAACCTGAAAGGTAGGTCTGTGGGAAGGTATGGGAAGTTGTTATTTTGTAAGGGGGTAATTTGACACAGGAGTTACCTTAGAATGTATTTGAGGTCTGGCCCTACCATGCCCTGCTGCGGCTCAGAAGCTCATCTGTTCAGCCGTCACCCCCTGGTGCCTACTAGGTTTTACATGGGCATCCAGATATATTTTGTAAACATGCACTGCTTTTTAGCAATAAAGTCCAAAGAACTGCTGGTAAAGGCCCATTTCCTTTGCTGTTAATTCACTAATAATGTAAGCTGGAAGTATTGAGAAAAGAATCTTCCCTCCCACCCCTGCCACCAGTGGTACAACTTTATACAGCAAAGATGTTGATGGTGAATATATTCTGTGTTAGAACAAAAATTATATTGTTTTCATCATGCTAGGCAGTTCAGGGTTCTCTGAAACACTAATGTTTTAACCGGCATGTCTACCCAGCTGGTGTTGGACCCATCCTTCCATACAAAGTGTTTTTTTTTTTTTTTTTTAATTTCATTACTTTCAAACTTTTCATTTTCTAGTGCATACAGTTCCTAAACCTCTCCACAGGTATTCTGTATTTTGTAACTGGTCCGTGTTACTACTTATTTCTTTATTTTTCTTGCTGGCTGTGAACATCCCTCCCATCCCCCACCCTGGCTGTTTCTCCGTGTGTATGCCTCAGCCAGCACCCACTCTCTGTTTATCTCTCTGTGCCCTTTCTCTTCTTGCCCACCACCATCCTTTCCTCTCCTGCTTCAGAATTCTCAGGAGAGATTGCTCAGCCATGTCCAGTATCCCAGGTGGAGAAGCAACTTTGCCCTACTCTGTAGGGGTGGTTCAGGACCACGGACAGCACCACCCACCACAGACACGCCCTCTCCTCCTAGTTGTGTACAGAAATAGTTCTATTTTCACAGGCTTTGGTGCCTTTCATAATCATTTTGTAATGTAGTCTCTGACTACCACAATGTACTCAATTCTCTTTTGAGAAAAACCTAGGAAGTAACAAGTCTACCATTTACAGGCTGCCACTGTCTATAGTAATGTTGCCCCTTTATTGAACACTCACTAAGTATTTAGCCCACGTGATCTCACGGAATCCTTGCAACACTTAGGAGGTTGGTGTCATTATTACCATTTTTCAGACACAGTAAGTAGGGCGCACAATGTGCCTGGTTCATCGGGTCTCAGGAGTACATGCGAGCTCCCAAACCCCTTGCCGTTCTTTGGCTGTTCACTGGCCTATTATGTTCCTCTGTGCAGATACCTTCTACAGCATTGGGGACAGCTGGGGAAGAGGCGAAGACCATTGCCAGTTTGTGGATTCACACCTGGATGGAAGAACAGGGCCTCAGTCTTATGTAGAAGCCCTACCTACTATTCCAGGTAATAGGAACTGATGCCTGATATATTGCACTGGGGGTGCAAGAAGACATCCAGTGTGAGGAGAAAAGTCACCATGGCTCTGCTTTCCATTTGCCATTTGCAGATGGATGTTGGCAGCATTTTGGATCCTGAAAAAATGCAACGAAGTATCCCTACCATGTGCTGGGTTTAGGGTGGGCCTTGGAGAGGGGGAGTTACACAGGGGCATATAATCCCATCCCTGCGCTCAGGAAAGTGCTCTGTAGCTGGGAAGGAAAAAACAATACATGAAGGGTAAATAAGAGTGAATGAATCTGAAGGATCAGGTGATGACACGGATTATGTTATATGACTACGATGTAGTTAGTTAATTGTGGGCTTATGGCCACTGTGAATTCAAAAGAGGCGGCTACTGGAGACAGTTGAGGAAGGTTTTCAGAAGAGGCACAATCTGAGCTGAGTCTTAAAGTCTGTTGCACTTAAAGACTGGAGGGCCTTCTGGGTGGAGGATGGCATGAGTCAAAGTCCAGAGAAGACAAAGATAAACAAACATGCAAAGCAACCAGGGGTACTTCAGGAGAGGGTGTAGCAACTCTCTGGTTATGGGGTTAAAGGTGAGGACAAGTGCACTAATCTCAAAGGTTAACAACTTGGAATATGTCACCAACTTGCCCAACCTCCCTAAACAAACAAACAAACAACTGAATAAGGCCCAGCTCATATGCTGAGCTTCGGTGACTGGGCATTTTAAGAACTTGAGATGCTCTGATCTACCACATTTTTGAGTTTGGAAAAAACTACCATCGGCTGGTACGTGAATGAGCAATTTCAAAGAATTAAAATACACGGAACAGCAGCGGGTATACAAGGTGCTCTCCCGTGGCTTAGTCTTTCCAGGATCTTGCAGTGTGCCAGCACTGTGCTCTTCTGTATTGTGTGTGCTTCACCATGTCTCTGCAACGGCTGCCATTGCGTTTGGGTAACCAAGGGCACTCACTGGCACAATGTAATTAAGGCCAAGGCAGTGAGAGCAGTTGTTGTCACCAAAACTTTTTTTTTGAGGGGGTGAGGAATTACTTCCACTCCAACAGAGAAATGGTTGGAAATGCCGTAGCCCTTCTTTGCTTTACGAGATTTCCCTGAAAGCCCTAAAAGCCCACCACAGATTCTACAAGTTCAATGTTGGAGGATTGTGTTCTAGGAAGTATGAATGATTGGGAGGTCTTAAGTCTGTGAGGACCAAATGGGAATCTGTTCACGGGTTTGGGCCCAGCTCAGGGCCTGCCCCACAGTGAGTATTCAATTGCAAAGCCAACCTGTTGCCACTGAATTGATTCCAACTCAAAGCCACCCTGTGGGACACAATAGAGTGTCCTGATAGGGTTTCCAAAGTTGTAATCTCTGTGGAAGCAGACTGCCGCATTTTTTCCCGTGGAGCACTTGGCTAGTTCCAACCACCATCCTGTTGGTTAACAGCCAAGTGCTGGACTACTGCGCCATCAGGGCTCCAAGTGTTCAACAGCAATTGGATAAGATGGTCTTCTTCTATGGAGAGAGTGAGCATAATTTCCTACTTGTGTTAAACACATGTGAAGGCCAGATTATCGCTCAGATCATGCCTGGGAAGAACCTCACAGACTGATGGACCATCACACCGAAATAGTTATGTTTATGGCATTAGCAGTTGCCATAAGAACAACTTGTCAGAGGTTTTCTGTCTGAGAGGAGGTTGTAAGGATGAGATCCTTGCCTGGTGGTTCAGGGGCTTTTGAGGTATTTGCTCCCCTCTCTTTTCTTTTACCTTCTAGGCTACTATCGCCAGTATCGCCAGGAACCTGTCAGCTTTGGTAACATCGGTTTCGGAACCCCCTACTACTACGTGGGCTGGTACGAGTGTGGGGTCTCCATCCCAGGAAAGTGGTAGTCACAGGACAGTCATGCCACGAGTCACCCTGACCTGCCCCCCAGACGAACTTGCACTAGGGGCTGTGAGCAGGTGGTCTGGAGAGGAAGATAAGGATGGGTCCCCAGCACTGCCACCTCAAGGTGCCCCGAAGAGCAGTTGATGATACTGTACATTCCGTTATCTCCCGTCTGGAACTCTGTCTCATGTCACGGCCTGGACCACAGACAGGACTCAGTTGTGATACCTACCTTGCTTCTTCACATTTCTTGTTTGTAATAGCTTGTCCCCAGAGATGCCAGAAGCCAGCAGCTACAGGGGACACCACTGCTTCACTGCGATTCTCAAACTCTTTACACACAAAATCCAGACATTTCTAGATCCCCGGGGAGCAGCACGAGCCTGCCCTGATTGCTTCATGGGAACACCCTCTCTTTTCTCATTGGACTCTCCAAAGCTAGCTGAATGTATGCTCCAGATCTCTTTGTATGCAGTAGAGCGGAATTACTAAAAACACCACTGAAGCAACTATATCCCACTTATGGTTTACCTGATGGACTTACTCACTGCTAGACTAAATGTATCAAATCTTATTTGTAAATTCTCAATTTTGATATATAGATATATATGTATATATGCATATACATATACATACTTGTCTGCAAGATTATTAAAATGGCTGAATGTGTACTTGTTCACTAGATGAATGTGGGGGGGGGGTCTTTTTGGAACACAGATGCTATTTATTAACATCTTTCAGAAGTGCCCAGGGAATATGTACTCTGCTTAGTGTAACAGAAGTGGACAGCTGTGTGCTCTTCCTGTGAGTGCTACTGGAATAGGGGTTACTGGAATGCTTGGATCCAGCAGTGATCGTACCTGGTCCATACCACTCATCCCTGCAAAGTGAGTTCTTTCAATGTAAGAAGGTGATCCTTTCATACCCATGTGAAAAATGCACTGTGCTTCTGGAGGTCGATGTCCACTATTGAATGGTTAGGATTCTCTAGCTAACCCTGCTCACAGCTCTGATTGTGCAAAGTCAGGACCACTCAAGTGAATCCCACCATCACCATTTGTATCAGACCAGTCCAGGAAACTGAGATCGTCCACTTCTGACATCAAATGTGTGGTGGATGACAAATCCCATTTCACACACTGACTGCGCCCTGTGGAAATCTCAGGCTCCCTTCCCTGGTCAGTCCCAACCGCAGCTGCTCCATGTACCCCTTCCTTCCCCCATTCACCTGGGGCCAGGTCAATGGGCATTGGCCCCTTCTCTGTTTCCTAGATCCATTAATCCATTGGAACAACTCACAAATGTCAAGGGAAGGGCTAGCTTTCATTTAGCAGAAAAGAACACAGAGGGCAAGGCCCAGGAGGGTTCTTGGGGCAGGGCGTTCTTGTTCCCAAGGGATACGCTACCCTCTTGAGAGCACAGCTTCACTCTCTCAACACAGGATGTGCCACTGAGGCTCCATCTTCCAGGGCCTTCACTGGCTTCCCCACATGGCCATGATCAATGACATCATGTCTCCTGAGGTGTAGTCGGTGCCTGGCCCCCAGGTGGCCTCTGTGGTCTGGTCAGAACCTATTCATTGGCGTCAGGTGTGGTCCCGCTTTCAGGAACCAGGCCAAAGGCCAAATTGTTTACTGCAAGGGGGTTCTACACTTCGCAGCTTTGTTTCCATATTAAGATTTAAGTCCTGAATGATTTAAAACTCAAGTTTTAAAAATGTCCTTTTCATTTTCCTTCCTGCCTCAGTATTTATTCCTTGAAATATAAACATCTCACCTCTCTGTAGTGTGACATGAGAGGGTTTGTTTAAAGACACTTTGTTTTTAAAACATGGTGTACTTTCCCTGAACTTGGCTCATCGGTGTCCCTCAGGCAGTTCTGGGGAATGAAGGTGTCTTTCATAAAAGATTTTACCCTAAGAGAAGCCTGGTGGAAATGGGCTACCAGCGCTCTTCCCCCCCACCCCCAGCTTGAGAGCTGCACCACTATGTAAATGATTTATGACAGAATGCATGCCATCTAGTTCCTGACGTCAAAGATGTGCGGGACCAGCACTGCCCATGTGGGCCTCTGTAGTCTTGTGAAGAGGCGAAAGCTGATGTAGCTGATGGGTTTGAAGGTCAAGCTTACAAGGAAACAAGTAGCAGCAGTGATTTTGTGATGGCGCTGTATTGTTTCAAATTGTCTTCAGATTTCACAATCTTCCTTCCACGAGGGACAGTAAGAAAGAAAATGCAAGCATTCTGACAGCCTGGGAAAGTACTAGAATTCCTTAGCGGAACAGATTAGATACCCAACTCATGTGTCACTCTCATTTTAGTTTGCAGAGAAGCACAGGAACTTCCATATCACTTTTGAGGTTCTTGTACATGAAAGGGGGCATTATTAAAAAGAAAAAAAAAAAGTATATATATGTACTTTTATATATATATATATATATATATATATATATATATATTCCACACTAATTAACATTCAAATGCACTTCACCATGCCAAGCCAAAGACAAAATCTTTAAATACAACTAAATTTTCTTAATAAGCACATAACTTGCTTCTCTTATTTCCTCCCTTCTAAATTTTGGTGGCGTAGTGCCTAAGGCATTTGACTGCTAACCAGAAGACTGGCAGTTCAAACCCACCAGCCACTCCTTGGAAGGAAGACTGGGCAATCTGCTTCCGTAGAGATACCACCTTGGAAACCCAAGGAGGGACCACTATGAGTTGGTTTTGGTAAATTTCTGTCAGGTTGCCAGCATGCCGTGGACTGCTGTTGGAGGGTGAGAAAGATGCCAGACTGCCCCTGGGGGGGAGACACTAAAGATTGCACGTTTCCTACAAACATTTCCTGGAGTATAAAGAATTTGTGAGCATGTATATGAGAAGAGGCATGAGCTCTGCTGCCAAGCCTCTCTTGGTGATGTGACCAGCTTGGGAAGAAATGTGGGTTAGGGCTCAGCTTGCAAGTGCAACCACCCTTTCCCTGTGATGAACTAAGGAGCAGGTTTCATGCTCATTGCATAAACCATCGGGCATGCTTCCTCTGAAGGATTTTATGCTCACTTTACAGAAGCATAAAGAACCGACTGGCATCCAGTCACACAATGCTTTTTGAATCCAGCCTGGAATCTTTAGGCTGTATATGATTACAGAACTTTGAACTTTTATTAGAAGTAAGTGTTTGCAAAACCTCAAATGGAAATTACTACAACTCTCGGATGATACAAACCACCAAAATAAAAACACAAACAAAAACCTGAATCTCAACTTAGTATTATTACCAATATTCTGTCCAAATTGGGTTAAGTAATTGTTCTGTTTGGGAGCTCTGGTGGCATAGTGCCTAAGGCATTTTACTGCTCTCCAGAAGGCTGGCGGTACAAACCCACCAGCCGCTCCTCAGAAGGAAGACTGGACAATCTAATTTCTTAGAGATACTGCCTCAGAAACCCAAGGAGGGGTCACTATTATTGGAAATCGACTTGATGGCCATGAGTTTGTTTGTTTTTGGAATTGTTCTGTTATACATAGAGCTACTATGATTTGGAACCAATTAAGGCTGGAGGTTCAAACCCATCAGCCACTCCTCAGAAGGAAGATGGGGCAATCTACTTCCATAGTGATACTGCCTCGGAAACCCAAGGAGGGGTCGCTATGAGTTGGTTCTGACTCGACGGCACATAACAACAACAACAGCAGCAGCAATAGTTCAAATGAGCCTACAATGTTGTTGTTGTTGTCATGTGCCGTCAAGTCAGACCTGATTCATAGTGACCCCTCCTTGGGTTTCTGAGGCAGTATCACTACTGAAGTAGATTGCCCAACCTTCCTTCCGAGGAGCGGCTGATGGGTTGAATCACAGTTGCATCAAATTTCAGTACTGTGTGAATTCTGGACGTCACATTTGAGCATGACTATTGTCAGATGTCAAGAAAGGGGCATTTAAGATAGTAAACTATTTCACATGAAGTTATTGTTAGATGAGTTGCATGGGGTCAGCTTCAACTGAGGGCAATGCCATGTACAACATAAAGTTGCCCAATCTTGTACCATCTTCATGATCTTCCTCATGTTCGAGTGTACTGTTGCAGTGACTGTGACAGTCCATCTCACTGATGGTCTCCCTTGCCCTGTCTGACCTTCTGCTTCACCAAAAACAATGTATTCTTCTAGCAATTGATCTCTCCTGATATGTCCAAAGCCAGCAAGTTGGAAGTTGTTCTGTTGTGATGCAAAGGGTTTGCCATGGCTGACTTTTAGAAGTAGATCACCAGGCCTGTCTTCCCACTCTGTCTCAGTCTGGAAGGTCCACTGAAACCTGTCCACCATGGGTGACCCTGCTGGTATTTGAAATACTGGTGGCATAGCTTCCAGGATCATAGCCACATGAAAGCCACCCCAGTGTGACAAACTGCTGGTGGATAGAGCAGTCCACTGTTAGAGAAGGGCTAGTCTCAAGTTAAGCCTGAGGCAGCCTTGTAGGGAGCACATGACAATATCATTAGCATAAATAAGCCCAGGACAGTTTCTAGAGAGCTTATGTAAAATGAAAGGGCCCCCCAACTCCCTGCTTTTCCTAACAGTGGTAGACTTTAAAGGTTTGACCAGTCATTCTATAGTTAAGAAACAGACTTGGGAAGCTGAAATCACCTGCCAAGGTCACATAACTGGCGGCAGATCTGGGACTAGAACTCTGGGCTCCTGCTCCTTCCACCAGCAGAGATGGTAAACATGAGGCGTAGACTACATTCTTCGTTCCCTGGCCCATGGATGTTACTTATCAATCAAGAAATCTGCATTTGACTACAGCATCACTGCCAACACTGAACTCTCTGCAGTTACTCTCAACTGAATAGCACCAGCAGTCAAGTTCAAACTGATCTAACATCTTGCACCAGCAAGAGTCATTGCAAATCTCTCTTATTTTTGATTGCTTAGAAGAATTTGGAGTCCCTGGGTGGTGAAAATGGGTAACACACTTGCTGCTAACCCAAAGATGGAAG